TGGTCCAGTGCAAACTTCCTGGCATGCACGAGTGCAAACCTGACCCCCAGGTAAGTCACAGAGCTCTGCTGGAGTTCTAAGCTGCTTTAAAGAAAACTTCTGATTTTAAAAAGGTCTTTGCCTTTGTTCTTCTAAAATTCCAAGGGTTCCCCTTGACCTGCTCCTCCAGCAGCCCCGTGCCCAAGCTCACCAGCTGGTTCTCCCCAGCATGGTGTCACTTGCAAACATGTTAACAGTGCACCAAGTTGTCTCCTTCGGGTCACTGGCAAAATGTTCAAGATGCCAGGTGAGACCCCTGCAGCATTTCTCTTGTCACCAGACTCTGCCTGGAGGTCAGCCTGGTACACACTGAGAACCATCACTCCCTCTGAGCCCAATCCGTCAGTCAGTGCTTTACCCAGCCCACAACACACTGAACCTTGATATCAAAATAGGGTGGGAAACAGTGTTGAAAGGCTTGCAGAGTTGAGGTAAAAGCATACACTGCTCTCTCCTCATCCACAGATTCAGTCACTTCACCACAGAGGGCAATCCTGGTGGTCAGGTGTGGCTGACTCCAGTGAATTCATAAATTTACACAGACCATTCCCAACCACTTCTTTTATGTGCCCAGAAGCATGTTGCTGGAGGACTCATTGCGTGACTTTCCATGCACAGAAGCAAGGATGACTCCCTGCAGTTCCCTGCATTGTTTCCCACGCCTTGCTTGAGAAGGGGGGCACCACTTGCTTTCCTCCAGCCACCAGGAACTTCTCTGGGATTTCCATTTCCCAATGGAATTTCCATTAAAGATGCTCATGAAAGATGTCCCAGCATCTTGTGAGGGCATCAGCAGGTGTTCTCTCCATCTTGGATGGGCTCCATGAGGTCCCTGTGCATTTGTATGGGTCGAGTCCTCCAAAATAACCCCTGCCTTGATCCTTACCCACTGCTCCTGCCTCTTCTCCTCATTCTACCTCCTCACATAGACCTTGGAAATCAGCTTGGTCAAGAGGCAGAGGAGGCTCTGGGTACTATGTCTACTGTTACTAAATCACCCAGCAATAGCTCCCCATCTTCCTTGTCCAGGACCTAACTCCTGAAAGACAAACAGAAGGGAATGGTCTGGAATATGTCACATTCAGTCCTAGCAATATGAAGATGTCAAAAAGGAGTTCTAAGGGATTGCTCTGGTGCTACAAGTGGGAAACAGGTGTGTATTTTCTATTTCCACTCCCCAGCCCTTCAAGGACATTCATTACAAATAATACTGCAGGAAAAAATAGTCTTTTGCACTGTGGTCAGTGCAAAAGAAGTCATCACAAAGCAGCTCCTGGCAGCAATGGAAGAGCCCAAACCTTAGAACCTGGCAGTGACAGATGCCTTCCCAGATACCCTACAAACACAACAAAATTTGGTTTTAGTAATCATCATGGATGTATTATTTAGCTGAACATGAAATGTTTGCATGTAACTTTCTGACTGCAAATTGTCTGTTCTTTATTGTTATTATTGTTGCTAACGATACACAAATATCACCCATTTTTGCTTTGTCTCTGATATTCCCAACACAGCTGGCAACTATAAAAATTAGCAAACTCTGAAGAAATTAAGAATTTGTACTACGTTTTAATTAATACACATCTAATGTTTTAGACTTGCAAGCATCCTTCCTGCTCTCAATTTCTTCAGAACCACTATTTATAAAACCACTGTTTTTCCCCAGCTACTGACCATCAGGATTTTACAGAAACCATGGAAAACAATTACTCTGAAATAGCCCTGACACAAGGCCCGGTTTAATTACAGATGAACAGCTTTGCATTCCTACCCTGTCTGTAAGAGCAGGCACTTGGACTCTGTACGGGATCCCGGGAGAGCAGCACTTCCCAGCTGCGCGAAGGGCTGCCCCTGGTGCCATCTCGTGGTGGTCTGTAGGAGATCCCGGGGCATTCAGAGAAGTGATTGTGCTCTACTGCTCTTCTGTTCAGTTTAACTGATGTGAAAACTGGGTTTAGCACACCCTAATCCACGCTTTGCACTAAGAGATAATGAATTATGAGGTTTAATCACCATCTCTACTTGCATTTTTGGTGTTTGCACGTTGCTTGCTAATTTCTCCCTCTACAACGTCAGAAGCATTTTTTTTAAATGTAGTAATTTAAGAAGTGCTAATGTCACTATAAATAAGTAAGAGTCTCTCAAACCTTTAATAATTGAAGTCTTAAAAGTCTAGAATAGCAAGCAAGAAACAGCAAAGTCTAGAAGAGAAAGTAAGCCCAGCACATATTCACAATGTTGTCCCTGAGGATTAAGTTTTCCTTGTGGTTTAATCCCTCACCTTTTCCACATCTATGGTTTCTCATTTAAAATTTTTCATCTTCCCAGCTAAAGGCTACTCTAACTACCCCCCATCCTCATTTCTGCACCTGACCTGTTGCATGCAAGTGTTCCCATGGTCAGAGCTCTACAAGGCTATTTAAGGATCAAGAATTTTCAGGAGTTTTCTGGCCTTCCAACATGTGTACACAACGTTGGGATTAAGATCTCTACTTACCACCATGCAAAACTCTGAATTCACTTCAAGCCTGCAATTTTAACTTGACTTTACAATAGACCCAGGTAAGAAGGCAGGAAAAGCCACACTTACAAAGTGATAAACAGTGCATTTACCATCCAGGATGCCCTGAGCAAGAGCCCATCTCAACAATTTTAAGCCTTCATGTTTTGGCAGGCTGCTGCTCTGCTGTGGTCAGTGCAGTAATGAAGGAAACGCTCCCATGCCCCCCTATTTCCAGCTTGGTTGTTTTCCTAAACTCTCTTTGAGTGTTTCTTTTATCATGGTTTTGGTATGTGAGGGTAACCAACGTCAAAACCTATACCTAAACCAAGTGCAAATGCATTCTGCTCAGCCTAACCCTTTCCCAGCAATGAACTTCTAAGGAATAAGTGCAGATAATTTTTGGCAGTGCTGGGCTTGTGGTGACTGACTTCAAAAGCCTCCTGTTTGGAGTAAGTTCATCAAGGTCTTGTAACAAGATGTGGCAAGGCCAGTCAGCAACTACACAACACCCCGGGTGAAGTCGTGTCACATAAATGATGTCAGAAGAACCTTAGCCAATATTTTTGTTATAATCCAGACTTGAACCTTATCAATGATGACTAACCACAAGGCCATGCATTAAAGTCAGAGTTTTCCTTGGCATTAGTGGGAGTTAACACCTTCCAAATGTGTTTTGCTTTATTAACCCTTTCACAACAGCTCATCTCATGCTCACATGCATAAAAAGGCTTTTGCCTACGAGCACATCAACCCCACTCCTCATCCAGCGGAGCAGCAGGTTCAGCAGTGTGAGAGGCCAGAAAGAGGTGTTATTTTGTGCTTTGAAACACAGATCCAGACCCTACCCTGTGCTCTAGGAAGAACAGGAGATCATTTCTGGGTACATTTTAAGCTCTCTAGATTCCTGACCTGCAAGTTTAATAGATTTATGGTGCAGCCTTGAACTGAAGTGACTACAAACATAAGTGACAAATCTTAAAGCATTTCTTCTGCCAGGAAAAGTTGTAAGAATCTCTCTTGGACTGTCAGCTAAACTTTATCCTACAGCAAGGTGGCAATGCTGTAAATTTACAACCAATCCAAGGCCTATGGATCACGGCTACTACTTTTTAAAAGACTGACAAGGTTCCTATTATATCGTTTCAAGCACCACACCAGGGCCAGAAACATCATTTTTCACCATTACCTTCAGCTACAACAATTAGAAAAGCAAATAATTGAAATACCTTCAGCTGTTTTGAACTCACAACCACCTAGATCACCATTACAGACCAAAAATCTCTATTACCTTTCTAAACATTTACTTCATGTCTGAAGAGTAGGATCCAAATGCCTACATTTAACATCTCCTTGAAGTGCCACCACAGTCTTGAAAAGAGATAACATCACACAGAGATTTCTCTGCACATTCTCTCCAACAGAAACCTTAAAAAGCACATGCACATGTCTTAGTTAATAAACTTTGCACAGCAGCTGCTGGTGGTGCCAGGGTTGTTTATTTTGTTTGTAAGGTTCACCATGTTTACAACGTGGCTTAGCAGGTGTAGGTTCTTTAGCATCAACCTCCTCAAAGTTATCCATCTCTCCAGGTGGAGCTCTACCACCTTCTCTATCAGCTATAAGGAGCTGCATGTTAAAAAACCTTATTTTTGTAACACTCCACTACTTAAAGCCATTCTACCATGAGGGAAAGATTGAAAAATAAAGGAGAAAATTATAAAATCTGAACAAGTTCAGTCTCAGCACACATGCTGTAATCTGTTGCCTTAACTCATTCTAAAGCCACATATTCAGTGATTTACCTCCAGAGAGCTTTACATAGTTAAGAAAACACGTGGTGTTTGCTACAGGCTGTAATTTCTTACATTTGACTTGAAAAATGCAATGCATCTCCCAAATGTGTTTGCACTGTAATTCCTTGTTTGAATCTTCCCCACACTCCTCCTAAGTAGCCTTTCATCAACCAATAAATCCAGCAGGGAGGGGAAGCTACCCACTCTCTCAAAACTGCATTACACAAGCTAATCTAAATTACATTAAAAAAAAACTTGAATTCCTCTGCAATGCCTGGAAGTAGCTTGAATCCAAGGTTTAATGCCTTGCTGCTGTAAAGGTACCTGAAACTTGTTTCAGCCCTGTTTTCTCAGGAGACACTTCCAGATTTATGGCAGAGCACCTGACAGTGAGCACAGCCTGAAAACACAAGGATTGTAGACTGGACCACTGACTGCACACTTCAAGCCAAAGCAAACATCAGCTTTTGTCATCTGTCATGACTTAAGCTGAAATGTTTCTTGAAAGTGAAGTTTCTTTACTTCCAAGCTGGAGGAAAATGCTGTTGCAGATGTGTTGCTATACCCTAGCCAGGTTCCATCACTCCCTTTTCCCCCCTACCCTCCAAAAATGCAAATGGTTTTGGAAGAGATTCAGAAAGAGGCAGTGTGTTTACCCCCCAAAAATGGTTAGATCATCTTTAATTCTAGCACCTGAAGTTATACAAGGGTTTGCTTAATAATCAAGTTTCAAAGAACTGTTGGACACATTCAGTTAAGGTGACAACTGTGCAATACCACTCAGTATTTCAATATCAGGGACCATACTCTTGAATTGTTTAAACACAATCCACAGAACTCAAATTTAAACAACCATCCACAGTTTAACTAAACAATCAGTTAAAAGTCTTACAGTTTAATAATTCACATAATGGTCAGTCTTTAATAAGGGATACTGAAATTCATTAAAACACAACACTAGATTTTACTCTATAGGTGTGCTGGGCAGGCACATAATTGGCCACTCTTGGGGATAACCAGGAGAGTAAGGAGAAATTTACCACAGTTTGGCAAATCCCACATTTTGTCAGTTAAAAGTGAACTGTGAGAATTAAATACTCATCTTTACATATACACAAGTTATGCTGTGAAAGCATATTTGCTTACAAACATATAAAAATACTTGTTAACTAGTTTGATAAGAAAATAATGTATAAAAGTATATAGCAAAAACATTTAATCATCTCTGACAATGGAAAGATCAAATTCGTTTTTATATCACATGAAACAAAAACAGCTACAATTTTAGTTTTCCTTAATCCCTTACCCAGAAATACAAAGGAAGACACAATTTGTTTTCAAACATAATGTGAAATTTCTTAATAAGCTGAAATGCCTCAATCCAGAATGAGCTCAGGTATTTGGCCATATCCTAAGAGTAGTAGTAATCATCCTGTAGCTGTTCTGGATTCAAAAAATAAATACAGTAGAATGTTTTGGCCACCGAAATAAAACTGCAGCATAAATGAGAGATGAAAATTTTTGCTGACAATGAAATTCAGTGTAGGTTTCTTAAGGCTAGCTGAATACTCAAGTCTAATTTAACTGAGGGCAGAAGCAAACAAACAAAAAAAAGCCAATCCACCCCTTTTTTAAAAAGTATTCTCTATACTCCAATATAGGTCTCTGTAATAGCTAATGAAATGTCAGAAGTAAAAATAAATTAATTCACAAGAGACAACTTATGCATGACTTCAACACCTCGTCCTACATGGTTTTGTTTCATCTCCTTTGCGAATAAAACTCCACAAGGTGCAAGCTCTGAAGGGAGAGAAGGAAGGAACTGTGGTATTAGAGAAGCAGCCTTAGTGTTTTGGTTTGAAGTCTGCCCCAGGATGACCGAGTCTTCTTCAAGAACTATTCTGCCAGCTTCTTGGACTAAGGCTATTCTGGTGACCACTTTTAGGACATGCACATATAAGGCTAGACCAATACCAGAAGTGATGTAAAATGATGGAAAGAAAAAAAATGATCTGGCAGTTGATAGCTTGGTTCTTGGGATTCTCAGAAAATAACACAATGGCAGCCTTTCTTGTCTTTTTCTTTCCGTGTTGGCTCTGGTGAAGGAGGGCACTCTTGTTCCTGAAATTTCCTGGAAACAGGTATTTCAAATTAAATTCACAGAGTAATTTGCAGATAAATAAACACAACTACTGTATTCCACACTTTCTTTTTATACTTTCATAAGGAATGCACTTCCTTTTTACATTCAAATTACTGATAAAGTAAGTGATAGTTTTTGAGTTCACCTTCTGGGTTTGTTTTTTTTTTTAAGAAACCAATTTTTTTACAGAAGGCCAGTCTCAGATGCAGTTTATCACGTTTACTGACTGGGTGATCAATAAAATCTGAAAGATTAAGACAACAACATTCTCTTTCAAATATATATTAAATGCCATTATTTTCCTAATGCACCTGAGTTTTATAATGAAGATTATTGGCTAAAGCTTAGAGGCAGAATCCTCCCAGCAATTTCCCAGTGCATTTCAACACCTTTGCTGCAGCTATCCATTAATACATGGACATGAATTATCTGGTCTCAATTACCATACCTTATAACTCTGACAAGTTCATGAAAAGCTTGGTCTACATTCAATCTGATTTTTGCTGAGGCTTCCATGTAGATTACTTTAAGTTGCCGTGCCAGCTGCTGGCCTTCCTCTTGTGTCACCTGCAACAGACATCAGTCATTAAGCTCAAGGGTTCTGCAAGCAGCTTTGTGCCAGTACACTCTGCATGTGCATGTTAAGGATCCAGCTCTCTCAAAAAATAATGATTATTTGGGCACAGCACAGTTTTCACCTTGCCCACGTTATACAGCTGGGAAACAGACTTTTTAAAGGAAGTTTCTGCAATAGACAAAGACTGACTTTCCAAGAAATTCCCCTCACTCCAGGTACCTCCAGTTCTGCATAAGCCAAGTTTTCCTTCACAGGCAGACATTAGTCCCTTGATCCTCCTCAAAGCCAATGCTTCAGTCAGCATCTGCTGGATTGCTAATAGAATTCTGAATATTATTGCTAAATTCACCTTTGCATTGTCCCAGCTAAATCTAGAGAAACCAACAAAAAAAAAAAAAAGACTACTCTTAAAACAACTTCTGTTTAGCTTCTAAATCTTTATAAAAGTGATTAAAAATATCTATTATTGACATAGCAAAATATTAATACAGTCAGTTTTAAATATAGCTTAGATTATCAGAGTTCTAAAAATCCATGAGGCCTTCAGGCAATCCAGAAATATTAAAGAAACCCTGGCTACATAATGACTCCCTGAGACAACAGTGGAAAAGGAGATGAACAGGAAATAACAAGCATCATGAAAAGTTGGTACAAAATTTGAAGTGATGAGGCAGAAGACAGGAAGCTAGTGGACCATTCTAGGAAGGAGGAAGAAGTTGGGCACAAGGCAAAACCAAAGGAGACCACTGTGTATTTTTGGATGAGGTGGAAAGCAGTGAGTCAGAGAACAGAGGCCACCCTGAGTGGCGCAAGGCTCCAACAGGAAGGTCACCCCAGGGCCAGGGAGGAAAGGGCAGCTTTCAGTGACAAAAGGAAGTACAACAGATCTTGCCAAGACAATGCCTAATGAAGAAATATCCAAGATTACAGTGCTTTCACAGAAAAACATTAAACCAGCACGTAGAGGACTGATACAAGAACAAAACTAAGAAGGGTTTATTTTTAAATTAGTTCTGAAAAGGAACTCTGAGTATTCATTAGATTAAGCAGCTACACAGAAATGGAAATAGATGGGAATAGAACAGGAGTGGCAGCATGCACCACAGTGCACGGCCTAGAAGTACTTTTCAGCTTGAAAAATAGTTTCTTAACAGCTACACAGTGGTTTAAGAGCCTTCTTGCATGGCATCTCCACATGCTTGATTCCTCTGTCCTTGGCATCCCACTGGCACTATATCCATACACCTCCTGCTGAAATCAGGGCTGCTCCCACTAAACCCTTGTGAAGCTCTACAAAATGCTCCCAGCACCCTGTGCCATTAGCTGGAGTAATTCAGGATGCATCTGCTGATCTCAAACACTCACAACAACTCTGCATTCATTTCTGTATTATCATCACCAGCTGAAGCCAAGAAAGAAACCCTCAGGACCAATTCAACCCCAAGATCAACTACTGGAGCTGCCTTTTTAACTGCAGGGCACATAAGGAGAACTGGAAGAACTAGAACTTCAGTCCTCTACTGCTGTTTGAAAACTGAAAAATAATGAAGACTCCTGCTCCCCCAGCTAGAACAGCTCCACTTCAACCCTCCACTCTGACCTCAGATGTTGAAATATTCCAATTGAAAAGCTTATGAAGACTGCACTTAGACAAATATTTGTAGCTCTTTTCTGGCACTTCAGTGACTGTAGAATCCCCTAAAGTCTGCACCAGTGCTTCCAGAACCTTCTGTACATCTCTACCTCAGACTAGTAAGTTATATTTTGCTAGAACAGATATAACAGTTCTAGCAAAACTCATTCCTTTTACTTTTCTTCATCCCTGCAGTTTACTGCAGCCCCAGACAGTGAGAGGCTGAAGTTCAACAAAAATAAATAATTGGCAAGGAATGTAAAATTCTGAGGAGAAGCTGAACTCAATCTTTAAACACGTGTTTAAAGAATTTCTTCGCTATTGTACCCAAAGCACACTGCAGGTACAAGTCTAACTAACACTAATGAAGTTAAGCTACACTTCCACAATACCCTGCATGTAAAACATTATAAATACACTAAAGTTCTTCTTCTATTTACTAGAATACCTGTAACTGTTAAATTCCAAAATAGTTTTTGTCAGTCTCACGAGTATATTGTCAAGTTACTTCTGGTCAATTCTGGTGACCTTAAAAGTCAGTTTAAAAAAATATTTTGTTTGGAAACACTACGGAAACATGTGCAGTGCCCAAGATGTAAATTCGAGGCCAGAACACACCAGTTCCATCTTCAAAGCTGAAGGAAATGTAAGTACAAACACAGAAATACTTGTAAATAACAACATGAATTTTCATGTTTTTGTTGTCCCTTCTTGAGTACGACAACCCTGTAACATGACAGGTTTTCCAGGATGTGTGATGGGAGAGCTTATTTAACATCACCACTAAAATAAAAAGTAAATCCTTTTTCTTCCAAGAAGACTGGATGTTATTTTGACAGAACTAAAGAGATCCACAGATTTGATGGCAGTGATTGTGTGTACATCTGTGTGTGGTGGTTCTGCAGTTTTAGTGAACTTAAGGCTGAATACAAATGAGAACCACTCATAATGCTCACCCTTTTGCTGTAGGATATTTTACTGTTTGTTTCTGGATATCACTCATTCACCCTATTCTGACAGTTAGTAAAAGTTTCTCAAAGGAAAACTCATTACAGAAGAGGTGAGCCAGTCAAACATGGAAAAGCTTATTTCCCACCTCCCTAAGTCAACATTCTTCTTCTGAAACAGTTTCCATTTGAGTACCTGCACAATAATCCTGTGAACACAGGTCCTTCTCTCTTCACTATTCTGTCTGGTATCTGTCAGAAATACATTAATTTCTGAAGTTTCCATGCTTTCCTCCACCTAAAGCAACTCTACAAGGCTGCCTAACCTAACACTGCACCTGTATTTTGCCTGGACACTTATGTAAGACTAAGGGACACATCATACAGGTAACAATTAAATGTTTCCTCAAGTTTGAGAGGAATCCATTTCTGCCACTCTGTGGTCACCCTACAGTGCTCCCAGCACAAAAACATTGCCCATTTCTGCCAAGAGTTCCATCACTCCTGAGGAGTGCATCTGTCATCCCAATTTTCCTACAGGGATAATTCACTGTCCCCCTACTCCAGTTTTTCCACACTCTCCTATCCACGGTACAATCTGTCTGTGAGCACAGAGGTGTCCCTGGATATAGTCCCAACATCTACCACTGCAAGAAGTTATTGTCACACTTTCATACAAGAGATAGTTAATTTAAGTCACACGGATGTCTCTTGCTCTAGAGGTAAGAGGTGATCTCAGCACTGGGTCATTGTGTTAGTTCAGTCATGATGCAAAAGCAAGAACTAGCATTTAATGAAACCCAAGCACTTTCCTGTTGCAACTTGGATTTTCCTGGAAACCCTGCCATCTGGGGAATGATCAGACTTGACCCAGTTTAAGCTAGCAGTTATCTACAGAAAGTCATACATATCCTGCACTGACAAGTCTACTCCTCTAACACTAGTGGTTATTATTAAAACATCTGGTGCTCTACTGAATTATCTTACAGTAGAAACATCCAGTGTTGAGTTCTAAGGAATTAACCCATTTAACAGAAAGACTGCTACACAGCATTTACTTTAGGAAAGAGCAGTGAAGAGATGGTGCTTCAATTCTGGTTTCAGAGTCAGCAATTTGTGACTGGGGAATTTGGAAACACTGGCAGCTTCATTTCTTATCATACATTCTAAAGATTAATGCTTCCTTGTCCTCTAAAGACTCGCTTTTCTTTGTCAATGTAACCCGTGGAGATTGAGAGACAAAAATCACAAGAAAGCTGCTTAACTCTATTTATCTATACTGTTATTACCATGACAAATTGCTATTTCAAACTTAGTCTTCCACGTCCCTCCCAAAACCACTTGTGAGTTGGTCTCGGGTATATAAAGCCCCACTAATTTACACCACACCTTTGGTGAGCCCCAACAATTCATCAAGATCATACCATTGTTTGTGCACTTCTGCTGTACAACCCAGTTCATGTATTTCCTGAGAAACAGTTGCCACCACATGAGGATAATTTGTTATGGATCATTAGCCTCCAGATTTATGGTGTCACAATGATAGTACTCTGTACTCTGTTCAACCTCAACACATATTTACTTGGATAAAGGTGTGGCCAGACCCTTGAGACAACCAGAACTCTTACACATGTTTAACTCCTTTGGGTTCTGGGAAGATTTGTTGTTGAGTATCATCTGCTGATCCAAACACACACTAAATTACTTGAACTGGGTTTAAGTCTTTCAGAGATTGCATGTATTTCACTGGTCTGCCTCCTGCCCTTTGGAAGAAGCAGGCAGATGCCCAGTAGAAGCAGTTTTGCTCTAAAAACTGATACCCAGCTTCCTGACTTTCTAAAAATGTAACATTAATTCTGAAGCTGAAAAGTGCATAGTTGGGATTAAACAAGAGAGAAAGAACCAGATAAGTAAAAGATAAGCATGGCCTGGCAGGTTTTTGGTGGTGTCCAATGAGGCCTGACACATCAGCAGGCGAAGTGTGAAAATGCAGAGGACTTGCCCTTATCATGCTTCTGGCCACAAGTTACAGCCTGGGGATGCCCCACACTCCCCACTCAGCGAGCACTCCCAGCCAAGGTGAGGGAGCACTCTCTCCTTCCACCCCACCGCTCCCATGGCAGCTGCCTGCCAAGAAACCTGCAGCCAGAGCAGGGTGACCCTGCTTGTCAGGCTGAAGTTTTTCCTCACTTCTGGACTAGCTGGTTTAGCTAGTGGCAGGAGTAGTTGACAACAGATGAACAAGCTGGTGCCCCTCAGTGAGTGGATGGCTGTCCTGAGAGCTCACACGGTGCAGCAGAAACAACCCCCCTGTGTAACACCCAGCTGATAACATCTCCCTGCTTGCTGCTGCCAAAGGGTGAGGTCTCACTTGCTCCCCCCACCCCAACTCCTCCCTGCTCTGCTCCAAGCCACAGACCCACCCCTTCCCATGCTTCCAGCACTGGCACTCAAATCTTCTTGCAAGCTGATTTAGCTCACACAGGTCCCAGGAAGCCATTCCTACTCCTCCCCATCCAGAGAGATGATTCAACTCCAAAAGTGCTTCAAGTGAGATCTGGGAAAGAATGGGAATGTGAAGTCAAGTGGGAGGGGAGCCTCTCCCTTGTGGGATCCAACTATGTCAGCTCAGCATCCCATAACCATTCCTTCACACTGACTGAAGGCCAAGTGAAACACACCGTGTGATGGGACAGGGAAGAGTTAAGAACATGTAGTAGCTGTTTAAGCAAACCCAGAAAAGTTTTCTCAGCTACATGACGGGAGAGACAAGTCCACCAATTGGTATATAAATGATGAGTGAGAGCAACAAGAAGTTATGCCCACCAGCATCTAATCAATTAAGGTAATTAATACAGCCATAAAAAGCAAAAGGAAATTTTGGAGACATATACTGATATGAGCAGCAAAATTGCAAAGTTAGGCAATTTAGAAAAAGCTGCTTTGATCTTGAATGTGTTCCAGCCCATTTCCACCTGAAAAGGCAGCTTGGAACAGGGCAGAGGGACCAGCAGAACTGCCTTTAACAGAGGTGGTGTAATAACATGAGGAGGGTGGAGGAGAGAGAGCAAAGTTCACAGCTGTTTCTAGAAATGGATGTCCAGGATTACCAGCTACAATTGCAGGTATCCTGAGAGCTGGGGCTGACAGCCGTGATGTTATTTCTCTCCCAAAGCATCTGGAGGGTTCATTCTTCAGCAATTACAATTAGCAGAATACTTCACTTTCACCTCCATAATTTCAATGCCAACATTTGTGCAGGAGATAAAGGACACATGTTCCAGGACCTGCAAGGTTAAATCTAGGGATTTTGATGGGAGCATGATGATAACTGAAGAGTGACAGGGAATTAAATGTCCCTGTCTCAGGGACAGACTGTTCTGTGAATGTGAGAGTACTCAAAATTATTTCAGAGGAATTTGTGAGCTACTTCTGCAAAGACTTCTTTCAAGGCAGCATCTTTCAGCATAGCTTTTAATTTAGTCATGATCTTTCTACACAGCTTCTGGGATGAAGAGGCTGTGACAGTCAAGGGACTATATTCAACAGGAACTTTTTTTGTACTGTAATTGTAATTCAACATTGCACAAACTAACTCACTGAGCTCTTCAAGCCATGGTTTTTTTTTTCTTGTGAAACTCTTAGAACAATTACAGCAATTTTAGCAATATTTACTTTATTCTCAGAAAATCATGTGTTGCCACTAAGCTTTCGATGTCATCTTCCTGTCTCAAGAGAAAATATTAAGCCTCTCAAATTAGTTGCTGAAGAAAATACAAGTTTGACATCTGTCCCTTTCCTGCTGCTATAGTAAGGTTATTTTCATTTCAGCTCAAATTAGTTTGATTCATTAAAAATCAACAGCAGCTAAGAAGCATATTTTTCAAAGTCCTTTAAATCATTCTAAACTAAATATTTTAAGTAGTCTTGCAACTAGAGGTGAGGTTGAAAACTACTGGTTTCAAAACTTCAAGGTACATAAATATAACAGAAATTGTGTTGCTGTACTTCCAACTTTTAAAGCTTTAAGTCAGTTATGCAGAAGATGAGTGGCCAAAGAGAAAACAGTGAATAACTACTGATTTATACATAACAGCAGTGAAAGGTAAAAGCAAGAGCACTGAAGACTAAGGATGGCTGGAGTTAGTGTTGGAATGCACTCTGCTGGCACAGTGCAGCAGTGAGTAACAGAACTGAGGAATTAGACACGTTCATGCCTGAGTAATCAAGTCATGACAGAAAGCTCTCAGCTCTGAATAGACTTGGTCTCAACATAACCCCACTGAGTCAGACAGAAGATGTGCTGTGTATGGAATGCCACCATGCTTCTAAGGCTCTTCAAGTACAGAAACTGAGTGGAGTTTCTTGCATTCAGTTAGTTTGTATGATAGGACTTTTTTCATTTGTTTGTTCCCATTCTGGTAGGAAGTTTAGTTTTGGGGGGAAAACTGAATTTTCTGGAAGAAAGTGAGCAGAAACTAAGAGCAAATGAATTACCTGTCTTTGGTGGTCCAGATCTGCTTTATTACCAACGAGAATCATTGGAAACTCATCGCGATCTTTCACTCTAAGAATCTGTCGCTGAAACTTGTAGATTTCTTCAAAGCTGTGAAAGAACACATGTAGAACATCAGATTCTAATTCACAGATTCTCAGGTTCTGAAAAAGTTCAGAAATTATGAGTCACAGACTGGGACTTGCCCTGCCATGACACACAAGCACAGACAGCTGCAGGCACTCCAGAGTCACAGGATGACCAGTTAGAGAACCATTCAACACTCAAACCAAAAAAATCCCCAAGTGAGCAGTGTCCTCTGCACTGGGCTGAGGTGGGGCTGCAGGGTGAGCAAAACACTGACTGTGTCTCAGTCCATAGGGACCCAGGGCCAGTGTGCTGCAGAGAATCAAGCAACCACAGTCCATTCTACAAATACTGACTCTGGAGTTCTACTCCACCTAGAATATTCAAACTACAGCATAGAGACCCTGGTGATCAATATTTCAGCTGGCAACCTCCAGAGCTACTTCTATGAATTTTGGGGGAAGCTATCAAAGCTGGAAAGTTTTGTTTTGTCAAGCACAGAAAAATGGCAAGGCTAAATGAGCAGAAAGCTTTCCAGTTACCAACTAAGTTAAACCAGGTACTGATGCTTTTCAAGCATAAGGAATATTTCAGCAGTGTTTAAGGAAAGGTTAGCAGAGCAGAAAACTTCTTCCAGGATGGTATGCTAAACAAGCTAATTCTGGCCTAAACAAGGATTTTTGGAGAATGAATAAATAAATCACTGCTTTCAAGTAAACACTGTTAAAGCTACATCACTACATAAGGACCTTCAGCACAGACATTTGCAGACCATCACATACCCTCTGTAGCCTTCTAGACATATAGTCTAAAGGCATTTACACCTAATTTGCCAGGTAAAATTTAAAAGCAAGATGATCACCAGTAAAAAAGTCACATTGAAAAGAACTAGGTAGCCAGACACCTAATGCAAAGGTAATTAGAAGAGATGTATGTCACTAAGCTTAGCTCTCCATGAGCTTCTAAGATGTTTCATCTGCATTCTGCAGCCATTCAGTCAATGCATAGGAATAAACAAAGGGACCTCTGCCTGCAGAGTGCAGGCACGTACCCTAAACCCACTCAGAACCCCAGAGCCAGCTACTTGATGCTGCACATGGCAAAGGGATATTCCTAAGAACTGACTGAACACCAGACACTCCCAGGAAAATGGTATTCTGGACTGTAATAAAGTTCTTGAATAGAGCTGTCATTTTTTTGTGTATGCTTCCAAGTCATCTATTGAAACAAATAGACACTTTCACAAAGTGATAGGTTCAAAACTGGTCATCTTCAGTGCTGAAAGAGCATCACACCTTGCACCTAACAGTGAACACTTAATGTTTTGTTTATTTCAGTTAAGGATCATGTGCGATTTAAGAATAATTAAAACTTGTTTGTTTTAATAACTTGACCTCAGGCTTACCTTCCTCTATCTGTGACTGAGAAAACAAGCAGAAAGCCCTCCCCTGTCCTCATGTACTGCTCACGCATGGCTCCAAATTCTTCTTGTCCTGCTGTATCCAGAACTGAACAAAGGCAAAAATATGGATTACTACATTTCGTGTTCTCATAGACTGAAAAAAAAATCCTGATAAGATACCGTGAGAGTCTCTCCTGTGCATCATAGCCTAGCAGAAACCACTTTTCACAGATATTACTGGATATTTTTCTAATATTCCCAACAAGTTCTTGCACTGATTGAACAGTTCAAGACCTACCAAATTAACTGAACAACAAAACACTTGAGGACTTTGCTAATTCCTGACCATCTGAAACAGATGGAAAATGTTCAGAGATATGTGGGGATGGGGATTGTTGGTTTATTCTTAAAGAAATCACCAACTTTCAAGAACTGGAATTTTTAAAGAAAACCATTTCTACTGCACTTGGGAGAGGCAGCACAGGTGTGTTTTCCATGCCACCATGTCACTCCTGGGAATAAAAAAAAATTCCTAATCCTAGTTTTATGGGCACTGTGGGTGGGCTACTTACTGTCCAAGCGTGCGGCTCTCTCGTCTATCACACATTGCTTGGTGTAGGAGTCCTCAATGGTTGGGTCATAATCCGTCACAAAGTAGGACTGCAGAGAAGAAAACAAGTTTGTGTTTTAGACAAGCACACACAGGACACTCTGAGGGAGATGCTAAAACTGGACACTTGACACCATAAGGAAGGCAAGTGTGTTTATTCATGTACAACCATTTGGTTCTTCATCCAAAGATATCCAGTAATGGCTTTTCTATTCCTAGTAAATGCTCATAAATTGTAGATATTACCAGCAGAGTCACTGAGTTAACTGGATTCCCACAGCCTTTCTAATATTTTCTAGACATTACTGGTAACTCCTAGGATTTCTCAGAAATCCCTAGAGATTTTCAGTTTCTATGGACTTCTAAGGTCTCTTGTAATTTCTCTGAACTTCTGGTAAGGTTTAGAAGTTCTTTGAAATTCTCAAGTTTACAAGACTTCCTCTCCTGATCCCAGATCCAGAGATTTCTAGGAAGTGCCAGGACTTCTTCAGCTGTTTCTAGAATTCCCTAGCAGTTTTAGAACAATTTCTAGAAACAGCTCCACACAGCACAAGTAACACTTAGTTTGTTAGCCGAATGAAATTTGTTGGAACATCCTTGTTCCCAGGATTTCTCTCCTGGTTTTAATGACTTTAAGCACTCACATCTCCAGACAGACAATCCCCAAAAGCAGAAAAAGCCATGAAATGCCTGTGCCACCCATGGCCTAAGCACAAGGCTCCACCAGACACTGCCAGGCAGTTGCTTATACCCAGACTGCAGAGCAAAGCACGTTCTGGTACATTTCTCTAGAGACTGGGTGATCTGGTACTGAATACTGGGTTACCAACAGCATCAGAAGACAAGTTTAGCATTGAAAGGATGAACTTTTAGCTTGCATGCAATCATAGTAAACTTCACATAAAACTGAAGAAATCACATTGGCATAACAAATCTGAACCCTGATCGAATTCCTTCCCATCTATGCTCCCAGCAGGCACTCGGTGCACAATTTGTGCAGAACTGCAGGTGCACCATGTGTACATTATTCAATTCTGTAAACCAGTAAGGAATTAGGAATGTTTTGAAACTACATATTGACTCCTAGGAAGAAAAAAAAAACAAACAAGGGGGCTTTGCTGAAGCACCTTTCCCATCACACAAAATTAAAGATACCAACAAGACAACACTCTGCTCCTCTAAACTTACCAAAATCAAGTTGACAGATGTCACAGTTGGGAAAACAAACCATAAAAAAGGGAGGGGAAAAAATAAGAACTGAAATCACAGCACTAGCCCACTAACCTTCTCCAGACACACCACTGTCAGTGCAGAACACAGTTAACTCTGTTCCTTGCAGATCATTTCTGTGGCTGCATTTGCCCTTGTCCAGTTCAGGTGAGGAGCTGCTCATGAGGACAGCCTGCAGGACACTGTCCTGACTGCCCCCAGCTGACCCCACCACTTGGACATGGCCATGCCATGTTTAGCAGCATTTAGGACAGGGGTTCCCCAGCAGAGCTCATGGGCTGAGCTGCAGCTCCCTTGCTGGGAGCAGCACATCACCAGCTGTGGCACACTCGACCAGCTGTGGGTGCTATATATAACCTGTGCTCATATACCACAGCCATCGTACAGTTGGCTGCAGGAGGAGGTTGTACAGGTTGCTGTTGATCTGTTCATTCAGAGCTGGCACCACACTAAAAAACTGCTGCCCCCAGAGCAGAGACCCCGAGCAGCTCCTTTGCATTTCAAGCAGACATCAGTGTCCTCTCAGGATACACCTACACAGCAGTCACAGCCTTTCTGCATTGATGCACCCAGGCTGAACAGTCACCCTGCTTCAACCCCACCCACACCAATCAAAACAAACAAACAAAAACCCCTAACAAACCCTCTACCACTAAAAAAATTCCAGTAAACCAACAGGCATGGGATCCTAAATGCAACACACAGCCAAAGTGCCTATCTATAGGCAGCAGAACACTCACCTCAGAACAAGCAGTTCTTTCAACTACAACTCATCCCTTCACCTTGCTTTCCTTTAAGATTTAAAGAGGGAAAAAATTCAGCCTTCAAAACTGTCCTCTATCTTTTCTTTTGCTTGTATCCATGACTCAAAACATGCTATCCAGGAGCTTAGGAAGAGACTTTGAGGAATGAATTTACATGAACTGTAAATAAGGTCTCAATTCTTCTGTGGCCTTTAACAAACCTTGAAAGATGGATGAGAAACTTATGTGAACATACAGATGGATAAATAAAATCACTTACAGAATCTGACATTAAAGGGATGATCACAAAGAAGGGAATTTAAGTCCTATATTTCATTAAGGAAACAAAGTGATATTTATAAAAAAAGCATTAGGTTACTAAACCATGGAAGATAAAGCCTGCGTTCTGAAATTACTCCCTATCCCTCTCAGCTTCAGCTTTCATTCCTCCATCCTGCAGAATTCAAAGTTACTGTCTGAACCTTTACATCTACAAAATGGTAAAGGACAGCAGCTTTTAAATAAAAGGGAGATTTTGGAATCAATTTATTTTGCTCTCATGAATCAGTGTTAGCAGAACACCTAAAGCAGCAAGTTTCTATCCAGCAAGTATTTTTCGCTAAGAGAGTTCAGAAAAAGAAAGCCATAATGATCTCAGATGGATTCTTCCTATTTTCCTCATTATCTGTCCAAGGGCCAACAACTACAGCACGTTCTGTAATCTGCAGGGCATTTCTGTGATTCCCTCCACCCTTTTTAGTTTGCTTCTTTTTTAATTTAAAAACCCCGACTATACACAACGCAAGATTGCAAGACTAGGTACTGAAACATGGAACATGGTTCCTCCCTCAAAAAAGGAAACAAGTTTAAGTCACCCTGATCCAGCATCAGCCACATGTCAAATTCAGAATGAGCAGATGCCACAGATGCCCCACGTAACAATAGCTCTACAAGTATTTTCTTCCCTCCCATGGAGTTGCACTGCCAAATCTGCTGTCACAGCCACTACAGGAGAGGCTTGCAAGGCAATTAGTGCTGTGGTTTACCTCCAGGCACTGGGCAAGGCTTATGTGCCCGAAACAGCTGCTGGTTTTGCAGGAGCCTTCCCGAATTGCACTGGGACTATGTGCTGCAGGACACACGACAACCACAGCTTGCAGGCCTTATTCAGTCTGGGTTGATTTACAAAAAAATAGATGTAGCAGACACAGTATTCATCACTTTGAGCAGAAATGGACCTTCCTGCTGCAGTTCAGGCAGTGTTTAAAGAATTAAGGCATGGCAGAGCATATCCTGAAATGTCCCATGAGGCCATCCCTTTGCTCCTGAACGCTGTCTGGGCAAGGTGCCTGCTACCCCAGCAAGCCCAAGACCCTACACCAGCATGAATAACTCTGTAGAGGTCAAGGAGTTTGTGGCAGAACTGCTTAAAAGCCTAAGAGGAGCCCAATTCCAGCAGACACAAACCACTGACAACCTACTGGTTTCGAACTGGTGCCAAGTCTAGACAAACCAGAGGAGCAAGCACATCCCAGAGTGCAGGAATACCCAGGCCTGCCTAGCGCTGGGTGTTTTATGAAAGCTGTGCAAGCCCTAACAGCTCAGAGCAGCCACCCTGCCAGGCTACAGCAGTCCCAGGAAGCACAGCAGGAGCCTGGCATGGAACACAGGGCATGGCTCTCTAGGGTGGCCCAGCACAGTCCAGGGTGTCAGATCCTCTCTTCTAGGAGCCATTGAGCTTCTCTGACAAATCCAAAGAGCCACGACTCATTCAGCTGGCTCCACTGCAGCTGGCCGCTGCCTGCAGGAAATAATTAGAAGCAGTTAAATTTCTTCTAAGGAGATAGTAACTTGAACACGCTCTCCTGTTACACCAACCACTCCCTTAATCACCAGCAAAATCAAAGCTCTTTCCACCCGTCTCCTAGAAGGGAAACAAGAAGTTGAGCCCAGTAGTCTCATCAACCATTCAATTTACCCAGAATATTATGCAACAGGTTTTCTAGGTTTTCTCTTTCTAAGACTGCTGAGGCAATCAAGCCCAGAGATGGGAAAGCCCGCTGCCAAGGACTTTTGCAAAGGGGAAAAAAAAAACCAAAATGGCATAAAAATCCCCATTGCCACACTACCTATATCACTCAGAGCTGGGGAATCCACCACTAAAATCCCTTCTTATGTACACACTCATAATCTTAAAATGCATTTCAAATGATCTGACCTTCACAGGAGTTTCTACTTGCAGTGCATGGAAACAATGACACTATACAGAATACTGCTCCAGCAGTGTTTGTTTTAGGCAATAGCAATCCCTAAATCAGTGTTTCAATCACTCAAGTTGTTTGGTAAGAAGATATGAAAACCTGCTCTTAAGCTTATCCTCTTCCTCCATTTATTTGTTGCCTTTAATACACATAAAGAAATTCCTCCATTAGCTGACAAGCTTGAGTCCCACTCCATAAATTAATAAAAATGACTAAGTAAAGACACCTTTGATGGAAAACCTCAGAGCCAATTCACAGCTCTTACACTGCTTTTCACATTTACCCTTCATAAAGTAATGAACAGTCCACAAAATGAAAAGTCAGGAGATAACTTTCTTTTGCACTTTTATGTTTTAGGGTGGGAGAGAAGTAGGATGTTGATGGGAAGCTGCCTCTCTAAGCTGCAGTCCAGAGGCTGGCTGGAGAACATTCATCCCTTTCCCATTACACCAAGCTGGAAGGCCGTGCAATGAAAGGCAGCCCAGCACAGCGAGAGCACACCACCACTATGAGTAAGTTAAAGGAGAGGTACATGCCAAAATATATATTCATCCTTGCTGTCTCTATAATCTCCATCTGTATTTACTAAACATACACATAATGTTTCAAAGAGCCACTGGTTGGTTATTTAAATTTTTTCCACATGTTTTAAGTTTTTGGTTCAAACCCAGTAAAGGCAAGGAAATAGAAGGGTTTCCACCCTCCAGCCACAGTTACAGATCAGCTCTGGATTTAAATAAGCATCTGCAATTTGAGCATTGCAAACAGCCCAAAAATCTTCCCTAGCTATAATTTTTATGCTAGAACTTAAAACAA